ATCAATATATGTTACGAACAGATTTATAATTAAAAAATGCTATCTTTAATGCAACAAAGGTTAAAATCGTCTACATCTACACACAGGTAAAAAAAACAAACAAATTTCCCCTCTGGTGTTAAATGGAACAGCAAAATCGAGACCTGAAGACCTAATTCATTTCTCTAAAGTGGACACGATCAGCTTTATTTTTATGTCTTTGTAGAATAGAAATAAAGTTGTTATTGTCATAAATGATTCAGGATAACCTCCTCGGTCTCGAAATGTTGTTTGAAATATAAAAGCCTCGGCTTTTATCTTTCAAGCAACTTTTCGAGACCGAGGAGGTTATCCTGCAACAGTCACGAAAACGCGGACTTTATTTCTTAAGAAATATTTCTTCCATGTGATTTTTGTGAGGTTTTCGTGGGATGCAAAATCCCAATGTTCTCATAAAGAATTTATAACTTTGAAAGAAATGTAAAAGAAATTTACTACCGCCGGCACACTACAAGAAAGAAAAGTTGACCTGAAGTGATCATGGTGATTATGAAAAAAATTTCCATCAAACTCAAGGACTAATGATAACTTATGTCTCACAGAACGAGAGTCTTGACTTTTTCGTATCCGTGAATGGTAAAGAATTAGTAAACTAGAGTGAAATTAACCGCTTCATTCGAGCTGCTGTAAAACTCGTTAAGAATCCCAAAGAAATATTCACTGAAATAGGTAACATTCACGGCCACCAATGTCTGTTTTATAGACAAATGAGCATGTGGATTTCAAGTGATTATAGGGCATAATACTCCCTAGGTTTGTCTAAGGAATCTGTAGTTTCCTTATTATAAATAATATTTATGTTGTATACTTTTAGATGTAATTATAAATATTGTGTGTTTCTCTTGAATCAGTTCATAGATCAGTACTGTACATTGTAAAGTAAAATACTAGATAATAATTTATTCGGTCAAATCGGGGACTATTGCAAAATGACTTTCTTGCATAATTCTTGGAGGAGTTTAAACACTTACCAAGGAAAAGGGAGAAGAACAGATGGACATGTTCCCGTTTATGGGTGAGAATAATAAACTTCAACTAGTAAGAGTCAACCCTGAATTATTCAGTACAAATATTGGAGTGGACATGGAAATTGACTCTCCACCTGCTCGTTTATGGGTGAGAATAATAAACTTCAACTAGTAAGAGTCAACCCTGAAGTATTCAGTACTACAAACATTGGAGTGGATATGAAAATTGACCCTCCATCTGCTGCAAAGGGAAATGACAAATATACAAATCTATTTTTGGCTTTCTTCGGACAAAGGGCCGGAATAGTGAACAAACATCTCCGGTATAAAAAGGAGAAAACAGGAGAGCCCAGGGAGACGGCTACTGAGATACTACGAGACTCACTGGACCCCGTTATTCCTCCCCTGAACTGGACTGGACTCTTGGGATAAGTTTTGGCAATTCCGAACTGTTAACTTTGAAAAGACTTTAATTTTTATTCTTCAAACTTTATTTAAAAACTATACGATCACTGTACTTGATGACTATATGTAACTTAATGAAATTTGGACGAGAGTTTAATCATCTTGTCTTGATCCTATGTTTTCAAAATTGAGTTTAAACGACAGCGTGTAAGAATATCTAAACAATTATTTTAAAAAATCAAAAAATTTTAGTTATCCAAGTTTGTTTGAAATTCAAACAGATAATGAAACTTGAACTTATTGCTTAAAACCCTCGAAGCAAAATTTACAATAAAAGGTACTTGACAAAAACAGCAAAGATCTGAGAAGAGCTAAGAATTGCAAGAGCACAAAGACAGATTTATATGCAATTTGCTTAAATATTAGTGGTCTTGTTGTTCAAATTCGTATTCGGGGAGGCAGTTTAATTTCTGAAAGAGTCTCAAAAGTATTTTTTTGCAAAAAGAAATCGAAGGTTAATCAGAGTAAGGAACCAGAATCAGGAATCCACTACATTAAATTTTTTCATGACAGCGTCTAAACCCTGAAGAGTAAAGGAGCTTTTGGGATAAACAGAAAGTTAATTTATTTCACACTAACAATATTCGGCAGATTTATCGCCTTTTGACTTGTTTGACTTGTTTCATTTTCCAAACTTGAAAAAACACCTTTCAGAAGGAAGAAACGAGTCCAGGAAATCTAAGATCTGCCATGTTCCCGTTTACTAAGGGTCATATCCAAAAATAAGTTCTAAAAACAATCAGAATTTGGATAAAAAGAAATTGTGGACATGTTTTAATTCAAAGAGAATATCAAGTTAATTCATTAAGACTAAATCATTGAAAAGCGTCTTTTGCTTCTTTCCCAGCACCGAGGACATTATTTATTGAACAGCCCTCGCACATTGAATAATATTCATTTTTAAAAATTATTTCATTTTTCCTCCATGGTAAGGGTAATTCGGAGAATTGGATCTCAAGTATTTTTAAACCATACTGAGATTGATATTAAATGTATAAATAACTATAGAACAGTGCACTTAAGCAGGAAAAAGATTTCGATAAATATCGGAAGTTTACAGTCATGATCCTTACAGTGAAGACCTGATGTACATGTACATTCTCAATAGCCAACAAATTCCTGGAGTTACAGCTTAAATTTTCAACAGAATGACAAATTGTTTTGAAGTAATACAAGGGTGAGTGAAGATTAAATCATAAAGATGATGACGTTTTTTAGTTTGTCCGTTTGTATAAAGAGGAGTGTAGCCTACGTGTTACGGACTCAAAACTATAAACTAAAAATTAACAGACTAAAGTCAAAATTTTTATTTTGGATATAGCTTTTGATTTATTATAAATATTTATTATAAATACGTTATTAAACACTAGTATTTGTGGTTTAGTATTGTATAATATTTCAATTTAAACAAATGTTGAAAATTTTGTTTCATTATGAAAAATATTTTAAAGGTTATATTGATTTGAAATTTTGACTGAAGCCTGATCTCGTCTATGGTTTTGGGCCTGTTTCTCATTGACAGAAATGTCACCCCTAACGGAAGGAATTAAACACGTTGAATTTTACGTGTGTCTGTCATTCTGTAATTGTACATATGTCTGTAGCTGTCCAGCTTGTTGACTGTCAGAGTAAATGTCAGTAAAAACTTATCCATATTGTAAAACAACTTAAAAGTTTAAACATGCGCATGCAAGAAATTTATGTGAAATGTCATGTTGTAAATGAATTTACCGGGTGGCAGTAAATACAAAATTTAGTTGTAATGTGTCATGCCACCCGGTAAATTAAAAAAAAAATATTTGGAGACCTACCCTTAGATTATTTCTCCGTTTTGAATTTATTTCTTCAAATTCTTAGCTCATCTGCACAAATGTTCGGTGTCAAATTGTTCCTTTGTTCTTGATCAAATACTATCGCATTTGACATCTAGATGAAGCGATTTGGAACAATGACTTATTGTCTTGCCACCTAAAATGGAAACTAAATGTTAAATTTTTGATGATATCAGTTTGAGACCAGGGAAGGCTACTGACAATGGTTATGTTTTGTTATGGAAATAGCAAAAGACTATGTAAGAAACACACGGCAGGTTAGTAATATTTTGAGATATACGCCGATTAATATACACTTTTTTTCAATCGGTCGCACTGTACCTCTCTGGTCGTTCATCCTAATTCTTTTATCAAACCAATGAGCAACAACAATTATTTTTATGTACTAAATGCGGGTATCAATATAGAGGATTCCATTAAAACTAAATGCTTGTCAAGTTCCTTTATTAAAAAGTTTTAGATCCACACCTTGTCCAATCCATACATGTGTAAATTGATTAACGCCAAGCCAAATAAGGTATATATAAACACGTGGTCAGCTTAGCGAGTCAGTTGTATTTTGATACCAGCATGCTGACCACTGATTAGATGAGGCACGACAAGTTTGAACACCCACCACCACCCCTTCGACCCTATCCTTCTTTTAATGATTGATATATTAGGTAAGCCTATAATCAGACATTATACTATTTAAAATTTACATAACTTACAATCAGAGTTTGTGAGTTTGACCCCCTTCTTGTGCGTTATATTGTTTATATATACTAGTATATACCGTCATTTAAATTAATGACATATTTCATCTCTAAGAGTTTTATTTGCGGTAACCTTGCCTAGCATTAGAAGATCTAGACATAAAACAGATCTGAAGCTATAACAGCACAATTATTAATAATATTACTAATATAGCAAATTTTGTGTTCTATTATTTATGCTTTCAGTAAATGTAGTCCTTATAAGCAGTTGGTTTTTTTTTTTTAGCACTTTTCCTTTTTCTTGTCACTTTATAGTCGGAAAAACATTTCTAATTTTTGTCTTGGTAAATGCCAGAATGATTAACATAACAAACGCAAAAGAATTAATTTAAATACTAACCCAAAGATCGAGTCGCATTTTAAGGTTTTAGTTTATTATATTCCTAAATATAGTTGATGATTTATGAAGAAGTTTTTAACATGAAGTAAAGAAAATATTTAAACATTTAATTAGATATAATATTAAAGAATCTTTTTTTCACGAATTTTAGAACTGATCATGAAGAAAAGAAATAATACATGTTAAAGCTCTTTAACTCTCAAAAACTTGATCGAGTTTCGTTTTTGTTTTCGTTTCGAAGAGACGACTGAAAATAGAATGCATTCAGAAGAGCTAATGTTGTATTAGCATAATTAGATGAATACGTTTTGACTCTACATGACGGATATGACACTTATTAATTAGAGTTTTCTGTTTTGTACTGCTTAAGAGGATATTGATCAAAACATATTTATTTAAGATCAAAACATATTTATAAGGCTGTTCAATTGAGTATCCTTATATTTACATGCTTTGATTCCGCCAAGTATTTCTCTCTAGGTGTTGTCCCGCCCTGCACGTGTTTTTTTGGATCATAAAAAAATTACATTTTTGGTAATTTTATCGCAAAGACATTGGAAATGTAAATATAAGTTTTGAGAGTATTTCCATGTTAAAAAATAGGAAATAGAAATGATATGATTTTGTAAAACAAAAATTTTATTAATACGACGTAAACGATTAATGGCTCTAGCTGGCTTTATTGTTCATCTAATCTTCACACCAGCATGCTCAGCGCAATGTGAAGGTCATGGGTAAGATCCTGAGATGGTCTAAATATTATATATATCAATTGCATCTAAAAATTAACAACAAAAATAATTGATTTTCCTTTTCTAAGCAGATACAGGGAGTGCTGTTCTGGATACAAATGGGATGAAATTTTCAAAAACTGCACAAGTAGGTTTCTTATGTAAATTCTTATTTCGATTCACAACAAATACAAAAATATGGAGATTGAAAGTTTGCAATAGCATAAACGCTAGATGTCAGAATCTAACAGACCTGAGTGTAAGATCAGTAATCTTTAATCTCTTGCTTTTCAAATTGAACTAAAGAATGTAGGCCTGGATATTTTGGTGTAAACTGTGCCCAGTCATGTGCTTACCCTAGCTATGGAGACGGCTGTCAACAAGAGTGTAAATGTCAGAGGGAGGAGTGTAGTGTGTCCTCAGGATGTACAGGTATTCCTAATATAACATCAACAAAAATAAATAATTGAGCATTTATAATGTTGTTACTTTTTTGTTGATTTTGTTGAATATAGTAAAAATTCAAAACGGGAAACAGTCAATTTTTAAAGATCGGATGGCAACAATACAATCCTTGAATAAAATCTTTGGTTTCTATAATCAAAATCAAAATTATTCATAATATACATGTACTACATAATGAAGCTAATGTGAAGGTGTTTCATCAAACTGTATATCGTTTGCTTTTGTCTGATGATTTTGTGAATGTTTGAAATATTGTACATTTCGAATTCAGTATGAGTATATTGTTACGTTGACTTTTTTTTCAAACATAATCATGATAATGATAGAAAGTCATTTCCAATCTTATTTTAATAATAACAAATATTAATCACTCTATTATCAACATTCACGTATATAAGGATATTAATTGCAAATGATAAAATATTGTGAAGTTAATTTTTTTTGTGCTCTTTGTCATAATCACATAAAAGGATCATTCATAGATTTTGAGGAAATAATGGCCAAATACTTTAAAGGATGAGCTTCTGTAAAGATTCGACTTAAGGAAAGATTTTATTTGCGAACAAGGCCATTGTGTTGAGCATATTAGAGTTTGCACAATGATGACTATAAACGTGATTACTCGTATCATCAACTTATATGTCAATAGTCCAGGGGCCCGTTTTACAAAAGGACTTACGACTTAAGACCAAGTTTAATTATTCATATAACTTTTTTATTGACATTAATATCGAAAAATATTTTAAACTTTTTGAAAAGAATGTGGTGAGATATTTTTACATAGACATATTCAAGGAGAATAATTAATTTTGCATAATTTTACAATAATCTGAAGTTTTTGGTCTAAGTCGTAAGTTCTTTTGTAAAACGAGCCCCAGATCGTTCAAAAAATTGTAGAGCATGTAATGTACTAGTATTAGAATACTTGGTTATTTCCTGTTTTTCATCACTTAATCCATACAAGCAAGGGTTCTTACAATAATGATTGAGAAACTGAAAGAGATAGGGCATAGAATTTCAATTGTTAAAGGTTAGTTTCTATAACTATCCATTTTCATCTTCTCTTTGTGTCTTGTAACGTTTTATCTTGAAAGTCCTATAATTGATATCTCATTTACATGCACATCATTGCTGATAAATTCGTCAGATATTTGGTCTCAGTATAACGCATATGGCTTTATGTTAGAAAATATTGACTTACATGATATCATATACCCTGTAGGACATTTTAAGTTTTGTTTACTTGGCTTTTGATTACTGTTCCGTATTTTCACATTTGACAGTGAAAAGGTATGGCTACAGTAGTCTTGTCTAATTAGTTAATCTTGATATCAATTAACCGGATTCTCTTTGTAGGGGAAACAACTACTTACCTTCACACAACAAAACAGACCACCATGAAAACCGAGATGTCAACAGTAAACAGAATCTTCTTATCCACGTCCACCATCACAGAAAAAGATGCAGGAATTTACACTTCCAGTAGAAGTGTTACACAAAAAATCACCAGCAACTCTCCTCAAACTTTATTTACCACTCAAAACTTTTTGATAATGGGTATATTTGGAGTGGGGTTAATCTTGTTAACCCTTTGCATTGTATTCTTGTGTAAGTGTATTTGCAGAAAGTTTTCGTCAAAACGACGCCTACGGTCAAAAACAGATGCAAAGTGCCCAAATAGTGCCTTAGAAGAAATCCATTATGAAGAAATATCTAACATTTCAATTGCACAAAATACGGGGTTTAGCTATTCTCCTCTACAGCAAAATGAATCGGAAGACCGGAATAAAAGTTTACAAAATTCATCACCCTTTCTCGAAAATTCATTGGAAAAATCCACGGAGAAGATTGCATTAGATGACTATGAAAACACTATGAACTCCACAGTGTCTGATCCACAGAATCAACAGGTGCCCGTTACAGACTCGGGATCAACAGATTTGGAAGGATATCAGCTACCACACAACTCTTCTATCGATGGAGCAAGCGGTTCTATAGAGGAAGATTGTGTAAAGGAAGAACCATACTGTAACGAAAGGAGTGACTATTTGACAGTGATTTCTACTAAGATATAAAAGTACTAATTGTCCGATGTGCCCCTTCTCCCAAGTCTGTAGAAAAACCATTTTTACCAACAACCCAACAGACTGGTCAGCGGATTCTCAAAATTGCAATTGAACGAATTTCTGTTGTCTATCAATTTATGTCAAGTTCAATAGATCAAATTAGATAGATGTTATTTTTCAGGATAAATTAAGAACTTTACTTTTATTTTATCCAGTATAAGCATTAGTTCACTTCCAAGTTGTACACAGTCTCTGATCAAGACTGCTTATAAGACAAATTTATTTTTAATGATATTTTTTACTCACAATGTTGACTGCGCAGAATTTAATTTACGCGTGCAAGGTTCACTTTTATATGCATTTGTATAAAACATCCAGTATAATAAAAATACTTTAATGTAAAATGGATGAATCTGATTCGTCGAGAAACATTTGTTAAAGAACACTATTATCCGATGATAAATGAAGCCATTCCTTCCAGCGAAGCATCAGTCAACATTGCTTGTCGATGAGTGATATTCCCAAAAATGTTGAATGCGTAGAATTTATGAACTCAAGATTCACTATATAGTATGTATTGGTATGAAAATGATAAATATTGCATGTAGTTCAGTGTAACATTTAAGATTTTTTGCCCCTCGTTGCACCTCGGTAGACAATTGTTTAATTTCCTTGGGGTGAAAATTTTCATTGTTACACTTGTCAGTTGTCACAGCCGCACTATATTTGTTACTCAATAAATAACAAAACAGCTGTCGGTGGGTTCTTTTCTTTATCTATATTTCAGTTATACTTTCTTGATGAAATAATAAGTACAATTAACAAGGTGACCTGTGAAATAAATGAATACACTCATACACTAACATTCACACTTTTAATTATTTTAGAATATTTTAAGTGTTCTCTTTAATTAAATAATTAATAGATAGGGTATTTAATATATTCATAGCAACGGTGGTAAATTAATTCTTACCGAATAGACAGGTTTAATTTGTCTTCATTATAAAATATTTACATTTCCAATGTCTTTGTCCGAGATAAAATTACCAAATGTAAATGTACTTTATTTCTCCATCAATGTATTGGCGCGGTTCCAAAAAAAAACACGTGCAGGGCTGGACAAACAGCTAGACAGAAGCAGGGCTTGGAGCATGTGGATTGGCGGAATCAAAGCATGTAAATATAAGGAATAACTGTCAGATTTTTCAATTTCATGAAGATGATCAATCGATTGGCTTGCGTGATAATTTTATGCATAAACGCCTTCAAATTATCACGCAAGCCAATCGATTGATCCCTTCATGAAATCGAAAGATAAGACAGTTATTCCTTAAATGAAAGACTATAATATATCTGGAGAGGAGATATACTCTTCCTTTCTCCTGACTATCATAGGGTGGAGTGAGTTATTAAGGGTGTTTGGCGCCAAGCATGCGTATTTGGTGCCAAAGTAGTAAAACCACTCACACACTTCTCACACTAAAATATATCAACCAATCATACAACTTCAAACCGCATCCATTCTGACACAAACACATTTGACCTTTCACACTCCCAAACCAACCAATGAGCATTTAACCTCATGAATATCAATGAACGACTTCATGAATGAACTGAATACATAGTAAATTCCAGGGAACTGTAATTTACTATGCTGTATAATAGATGAAAATGATGATGATGATAATGAAATAATTAGTATATTAGGTCACAAATTATTAATAAATAAATTATATAGTATTTATTACAATAAATTATTAATTTATTCACCCTGTGACACACTCAACAACATAATTTGTACTGATATTTTTATACGATATCTAATCTTAAACATAAGGTCTTATTTCAGCTGACACGTTTCAAACTAATTGTGAAGCTTTTTAAACATAAAGTTGATATGTTTCGGCTACCCGGTCAATACACGGGGCTCAAGGCGGGTGTGACCGGTCAGCAGGGGAAGCCTACTCCTCCTATTCACCTGCTGGGGCTTTCACCGGGTCGTGTTTCATGTCCTGTATGTACAAGTAAGAATTAAGTGTTTTGTTCAATCACTTTATCTTCACCTTTTTCATTTTAAATATCACGAATCAAATAAAATATAAATCTAAAAAACAAAACAAAAAACTATTCAGTGCCTCTTAAAAATCGTAACAGGTGAGTGCTGTGATCGACGGGCCTCTTGGTTTGTATATCTGTATAAAGACTAATATTTCAAATCAGAATCTTTCCGTAAGTATAAATAAAAATAACATCCATCAAAGCTCTATTCTATTATAAATTTTTACTTGTTTGGCTAGCAACTCTTTGCGGCGCTTTTCATTAACTTTAAGCCCAAGTGGAGAGATTTATATTATTGCGAACACGCACTTTCCTTATCATTATCAACACCAGTTGAGCTGAACATAAACATTGTTGTGAGTACTCGCTCTCTCTCTCTCTCTCTCTCTCTCTCTCTCTGTAAAATTGGTGAAAAAATGTTTAATACTAAAGCTGCAATGTTTTGATTTAATGCATAATTTGGCCTTGTTAATGTGTTCAGTTTATTGAATATTAAACAGTAAAGGTACAAAGTTAGCAAAGAGCAATAACTCTGGAAATGTTTGTTTGACAGTGTGAAATAAAAAGTCTCAAATTTAATGTACAGAACAATGTTTAGGATATCCATTCTAAGAGGTGGGGGTGAAATGTGTTCGTATGGGAAATTAATCTTTTTGGATGAACTGGGTCATGATAGTGAGGATAATAGTGCATATTGAAGTAGTGATATTCACATTGTCTAAGTCTCTAAACCACAGACACTTGTTTCTAACTTTCTATAATATTTATCCCCCCCATCAAAGCTTTAGGGATAATGTTTGATATAGTTTTTGTCCTGTCTGTATGTTAAGACTGTTTTTCTGCAAAACCTTGAACCTCAGGACAAAACTTTGAGTGGATGTGCTATAATTGCATAATTTCACAGGTGTATCCTTACAGTGACAAGACCTCTCTTTGGGTAGTACCAAATTTGACCTCTTGACCTTGATCTTGTAGTTTGACCCACTTTTACAAAAAAATACCACACTTTAACCTTGACCATGGCTTTTGAACTGTGGCACTAAGGGCTTTCTTATTTCACTTGAGTATATATTCATTGATCAGACAAGACCTTTCAATGGGCATACATATTTTTGACCTTCACCTTAGAGTTAAGTTTTAAAAAGCTTTAACCTTGGCCATAACTCTTTAATAGTTATCACTTATTACAGATATAATCTATATGTAACAAGACCTAATCCTCTGAACACCAACAATTTTGACCTTGACTTTCGGAGTTTGACTTGCACCTGAGAATCTTCAACCCTCGCCATTAGCTACCGTGCGGGGGCATCTGTGTTTCACAAACACATCTTGTTACCACATGATATTACCAGGGTATTCTCTGACCATGTACTGGTAAGGCCATTCATTATGCCTACAGATTGAAAAAAACCCTTTACACACACACATAATGTTTGACAATCAATGAAACATACTTGCATATTTAAATAAGCAAATTTTCTTTCTTATTTTGCAGGTGATTTTTAGCTCTACTGGTCAGAGACCAGAAGAGCTTTGCGAGGTGATTTATCTGTCTGTCTGTCTGTCTGTCTGTAAAAATGCTACTCCTCCTACAGTTTTGGTCCGACAATATAACTTGGCACACAAGTAGACTACACTAAGATACATAATTTTGTGCATCGGTTTTTGATTTCGATGAACGGTGTTGCCGTGGTTACTAAAAATAGAAATTTCTGTGAAATTCTTTCAAAATGCTACTCCTCCTACAGTTTTGGTCTGATTTCAGTATAACTTGGCACAAAAGTAGACTACACTAAGATACATAATTCTGTGCATCGGTTTTTGATTTCGATGAACGGTGTTGCCGTGGTTACTAAAAATAGAAATTTCTTTGAAATTCTTTCAAAATGCTACTCCTCCTACAGTTTTGGTCCGATTTCAATATTACTTGGCACACAAGTAGACTACACTAAAATACATAATTCTGTGCATCGGTTTTTGATTTCGATGAACGGTGTTGCCGTGGTTACTAAAAATAGAAATTTCTTTGAAATTCTTTCAAAATGCTACTCCTCCAACAGATTTGGTCCGATTTCAGTATAACTTTGCATGCAAGTAGACTACACTAAGATACATAATTCTGTGCATCGGTTTTTGATTTCGATAATCGGTGTTGCCGTGGTTACTAAAAATAGAAATTTCTTTGAAATTCTTTCAAAATGCTACTCCTCCTATTTTGTCATTTCAATATTACTTGGCACACAAGTAGACTACACTAAAATACATAATTCTGTGCATCGGTTTTTGATTTCGATGAACATGTTGCCGTGGTTACTGAAATTTCTTTGAAATTCTTTCAAAATGCTACTCCTCCTACAGATTTGGTCCGATTTAAGTATAACTTGGCACACAAGTAGACTACACTAAGATACATAATTCTGTGCATCGGTTTTTGATTTCGATAAACGGTGTTGCCGTGGTTACTAAAAATAGAAATTTCTTTGAAATTCTTTCAAAATGCTACTCCTCCTACAGTTTTGGTCCAATTTCAATATTACTTGGCACACAAGTAGACTACACTAAAATACATAATTCTGTGCATCGGTTTTTGATTTCGATGAACGGTGTTGCCGTGGTTACTAAAAATAGAAATTTCTTTGAAATTCTTTCAAAATGCTACTCCTCCAACAGATTTGGTCCGATTTCAGTATAACTTTGCATACAAGTAGACTACACTAAGATACATAATTCTGTGCATCGGTTTTTGATTTCGATAATCGGTGTTGCCGTGGTTACTAAAAATAGAAATTTCTTTGAAATTCTTTCAAAATGCTACTCCTCCTACAGTTTTGGTCCAATTTCAATATTACTTGGCACACAAGTAGACTACACTAAAATACATAATTCTGTGCATCGGTTTTTGATTTCGATGAACGGTGTTGCCGTGGTTACCAAAATTAATTTCTTTGAAATTCTTTCAAAATGCTACTCCTCCTACAGTTTTGGTCCGATTTCAGTATAACTTGGCACACAAGTAGACTACACTAAGATACATAATTCTGTGCATCGGTTTTTGATTTCGATAAACGGTGTTGCCGTGGTTACTAAAAATAGAAATTTCTTTGAAATTCTTTCAAAATGCTACTCCTCCTACAGTTTTGGTCTGATTTTGATATAACTTGGCACAAAAGTAGACTACACTAAGATACATAATTCTGTGCACATTTCAATGCAATGTTGCCGTGGTTACTAAAAATAGAAATTTCTGAAATTCTTTCAAAATGCCTTCCTGCAGTTTTGGTCTGATTTCAGTATAACACACAAGTAGACTTTGATACATAATTCTGTGCATTGGTTTTTATTTTGATGAGTGGCAAGGATCATTTTTCTATTTATTGCTGATTTAAAGTCTCAAGTCCCAAATTTTCTCTTCCTTTGTTTTAAGTATAAACCAGTAGAGCTACAGTCTCGACAGAGACTTCTGGTTAAATGAACAATTATGGTGTCCCCGATGATACAGACCTTTGTTGTGGTGACAGTTTTTACAGTAATCATGATATATCTAGTGTACTTGGGATACTTCGACACTGTGCACACTGAGATTGGAAGAAAGTTCTATGCAGAGCGCTACTCGGCTAAATGGATTACGGTGCTCCCACCATGGCTTAACATGCCTTACAATACATTTGTCAATCTAGGCTACATTGTTGTTGGAGCATTGTACTGTGCCAAGACATCTGTGTGGCTCCATGTCAAACAGATCACACTATCTGACAGTGTTTTATTCTACACCTTTAACATAATGGCCACTTTTTATGGTGCTATTCAAGCAGTGCGTATCTTGACTCAGTTTCATCGCGCAGCTGTTCTGGACCAGTGGTATACCCTGCCATTCTTTATGTGGGTGTTTGTATGGGCCTGTCACTTAGACTCGGGGATTGGAATAAAGGGCATGGGCCTGTGGATGACCGTTTCCTTATTGTCATATTGTCTGACTCTTGTGCACAAGCATGGATTTGAAATTGCCTTAGCTCTTCACATTTTGTTTGCAGTATATGGTGCCATTTCTATTTATAGAAAATTTCCCATTAAGAAGGCCCAGCAACCCTTTGTTTGGGCCCTGATTTTTTGTGCAGGGTTTGTTTTTCTTAAATTAGCTGATCTGGAATTACCTAAATTAAATCCAATGTTTGAGAAAATATCTGGACATTTTTTATCTAAAATTGCAGATATTTTACAAATATACTGTGTCAATCAATATTTTGAAATATTAACACTTCACAAAAATAATGTACAAATTAAAAAATCTAAATAGCTAAGGTTTGACATATTAATTTTACTTTATATTTTAAATCATATGAATCATCATGTTAGTTGCAGATCAGCTATATACACTGATATACAGATTAAGTGTTCTCTTTGAGAATGTCAAGGCATTTACTAAAGCATGTACTTCAATATGTTCAATATCATGTAATATTGTAAATCAGATTGATTACATATCAATTCATATGAAATAAAATACATGTATGTACATGTATATCACTTTATCAGAAATAAATTTTTTGAGAAAATCTCTCTGTGTACATCTTGATTGAAGCAATGCACAGTAATGCATAACAGAAAAGATTAACAATGAGTGCTTACATCTAGATTTTCATGAAAGCATGCAGATGTACATATTTTTCCCCAGTAAGAAATATCTAAGGTATGTAAAGATTTGAAATTTGGTAAGAGTTCAATGAAATCAAGTATGAAATGGTCATTTCATGTAAACATAGATAATGCATCAAGTACTCTAATGTCATACTTGCTATATCTTTCAATGGAATTCATCCTTACACATGTTAAAAGTATATGACCATGTGTAATTTTAACAACATACTGGCATGGTTGAATTTGAAAAAATACCACCAGTGTAAGAAATTTGTGAAAACTTCCCAACGTAAACTATGAACAAACACTTCCAAACATGAACGATGAACACAGGAATATTTGTACATCTATTTTTGGGAACATAAAGTACTATGATTTATTTATTCAATACAAATCTCCTTTCAATCTCATCTCATATCTGAAATGTTTACATCTAACTTCTCTAGGGGAGAAAAGACTTAAAAGGACAAAACAGATGAAACATTTCAGGCATATATGATTTTTATTCATAAGCATTTTTAAAAAAATTTTATCAAGCACTCTTGATTAAACTAGATGCACCATAACACTCATTTTTTCTTTTCATCTGACTGATGTATGCTGTCCTCTCTCTCTCTCTCTCTCTCTCTCTCTCTCTCAAATATACTCCAAATAATTGAATATGCATCCATTTTTAAATTAATATACATGTACATATATTGTATATATTTTTTCTTTTGAAACTTTACTGATAACTCTCTCACAAACATACACCAAAGATAAATATTCTAGAAATATACAGGGTGAACAAGAGCTACATATACACATTAACATTAAATATACAAAACAAAATACTCCTATAACACAAGCTTTGGAATCAAATTTACATATTGAAATGCTACATATTAAAAGCAGAAGTTTTCCCTCAAACTATTTACACACTATAAACATGTACAGTTTTAAAAATTAAGATTATCAATGAACAGCAAATGATATAACATAATGTGTATGGGGAAAATATTTATAGGAAATGATGATTTGATTCAATCTAAAAAAAATCAGATTTAAAATTTCATTTTTAAATCCATGAAAGACAGACAAACAAATTTAATTGAAATGTAAACTGTACAAATAAGAACTGTTACGTGATAAACATACAACCAACATTTGATATGCAAATAAAACAGGCACAATTTTAAAAAAAATAAAGCATTCTTCATTTGGCAAACACTAATGACTTTGAATTAAAGAAATTAATTTACAATGTATACATAATCCTCTATTTTAACTTTGACAGATTTCGTGAATAAAACATAACTTTTTTGCTCATTTTTCTCAGACCAGGCACCTGGGACATTAAACTTAGACCAGCCCACTTTTGATCTTTTAAAAATGAGCTCATTTAAATTTATGACCCAGGAGCCAGACCTGCATCATACATAGTATAGGCACAAAACTTACATGATTTACCTATATAATATATTTTTATGTAAAAAATTGCATGCATGTCACCCTTTTCTTTTGCATAAGTTTTTTTTTCCAGAAATATATGATAATTTTTTCCTTACTTAAATGGAAATAAACGATTAACAAATATTTGATGCTTTAACAATTTATCCTCTGTATACCTATGTTTCTTGCATAATATATCCAAAACTATTCTTGAACAAGTTCTCCTTATTCAACATGTTTAAGCCACTTCATTAACATTTTACTTTGGCAGTGATTCTTGTTTAACAAAACACAACCGTACAATATTCAATATTTTCTTTTTGAAACACAAACCAAATAGTAAAATTATGACTGTAAAAGTTAAAACAGTGATGCGATTTGTATAGTCATCTCCATTCATATAGAAAAATCGGAGATTAATGAAATCACTCGAGTCTTCTTGTTGTCTACGCCACGCTGCTCCTGCCGCACCAAGTGGATCAGGAATAAAAATAGAACTTTTGTTGAATGGACCATGAATTCTTTGTATGATCCAGCGACTGTCATACAAATCATTGTCCTGGGCCCCTCGGACTTCCCAGTAAATATGGGTACTATTGTAAACATAGAGTCTTCCATACATCTCGTGTTCTGAGCGTGAGATGAATGAAGACCAAGGCCCCCCAGGTTTACTTCCCTTCTCTGTCAGGTAGACATTTCCCATGTTGCCGATTACAATGTGAACAGTTCCCCTTGGATCAAGATAATTGTAAGCTAAAACTCTGTTTTTATACACAGGCCATGTTCTCTCGTACATATGTTGGTGGCCACTGAAAACTAGATCAACTCCATAGAAATAAAACATGTCCTCCAAATGAGTTCGAACAACAGAATGGGCCTTTGTGCAATCTTCATTTTTGTCATCTGTAGAGCAGTACAAAGGACGATGAGCCATCACCACAATCCAGGGATACTTCTGTCTTTGCGTATTGGCTTCCTCTAAATCCTGAACCAACCAATCCATGATCTTCTGAATATTCATCTTGTTTGTGAAAAAAACCTCTGTTGAAATGCAAATGAAATGAACTTTTCCGATGTTAACGCTATACCACAAATCTTCTGGACGCATCGGCCATTCTTTCCCTGGATTTGAAATTCTATGCAAATACTGGTTTTTGCTTTTGGGGAACATTTCATGATCACCAGGTATAGTCATGTATGGAATGCGTGCAGCCATCCTTTCAACTTTTGTAAAGAATTTGTCACCAATAGCACCATTTTCTCTTCCAAGATCATATGCAATATCCCCCAAGTGAAAGATAGATGTATACTTTGTTTCTCCAGTTGCTTCATACACAATAAATGGCAGACTCTTTGTCATTGTTCCCATATCACCATAAATCATGAATATCTGCTTTTCATTGGAGTCCGGAGTTACAAAGCTAAACTGATCACTAATTGATTCGCGCTTTTCACCACGAACTGCATAATAATATTTTACACCTGGTTGTAATTTGGACAGAAGAACTCTGTGAAAAAATTGCAATCCATTAGCATTTTCTGGAAAATACACGGTATTTCCTCGAACAGTTTTTACATTTTCGTCCGAGTTGTCACCAGTATGGTACTCTACAACAGAAGAATCATTGTGTTCTGTTGACCACATCACCACCATTTCATTAGTCGTCTCGCCAAATCCTATGTGTACTTGTTGTGGAATATTTCGACCATTTATTTTGTCAACTTTATTGCCCTTTGCTGACAGTGCTCCTACACAACCAACTAAACATGATAAAAAACAGGCATACTTCAAGCTTGTGAAATTCCCCATTATCATTATATCTAATCTCAGGTTACATTCCTGTGATGGAAAGATTAGATGGGTCTGTCAATAATAAGTTATCATCATTAAAAACGTCCCAAATGGAAAATCCGAAATCAGATGCACCGAAAATGTAAAATTTTATCCAAAAAGCATTTGTAAACAAATGCGACGTAAACAGGAAGTATCGCCATTTTTGTGAAGAAATCAGTAATTCCGTCATGGGAAATTCGGATGGTTTGATAGATTGTCTTATTTGAACACGAGCATATATTATAATCAAGGATAGTTAAACTCAGGATAATTATAATCAACACAAATCTTAGTAAGTGATTCCTTTCTCAATACATACTCACTATCCATGCTATCCCCCCCCCCCTTTCAGGGTTCTTATTTAAGAAATGAATTTTTATTTTTGAAGATTCATGAGGTTATGAACTATTACGCTTTGAATACGCCGGCAAGCGCGAAAATATTCCACTTATTTCAATATTATATGATGAGTAATATGCATGGCTGTATAGGAACCGGGGGAGGGGGGGGGGGCACAACAAACAGATTGCTTGTATGTCTGATGGCATTGTTCAAAACGCGTCTTTCTCACAGACCCGGCCCTGTACTTATGCCCCCTCCCCCCATTTTGAACCCTGGGTCTTATTTGTGGACTGGGGGTGATGTTCGTAGTAACATAAAACAAAGAACGAATATGTTATTTACAACGACGTAAGATTTCTCCATCTGAGACTGAATATATGTTTGGGTCTTTTTTAAGGGGGGGGGCAACCTGGAAACTCCCTTTATAAAATTGCTGGATTTGCTCCTGTGGTTAATTTTTGAAAAGGAAGCTCCAAGCCCCCTTCCAAGTAGAGACAATCAAAAGTAGGGGACTTCCTGAGGTTATTTGGATTTTAAAAATTTACGAATTCGGTCCTTTGGGGTAGGGTGGGGTCACAGGATGCATTTCATTTCCGGATTTTTTTTTTGTTTAATTTTCAACTTTTCATTTCCGTCATTTTTTAGTTTTCATTTCCGGCAATTTTAAGTTTCATATCCGACATTTTTCGGGTTGTATTTTTTTTGGTAATGAAAGCAGGAATGAAGAAATCACTTAATATTTTAAAGAATGAATTAAATACTGTGCGTATAATAGTACATCAAATGTCTTGGACACAAGTTCGAGACGTCGATGACATTTAATTTAGTGAACATTAATTGTGATAAAAAAAAAACTACATGCTATACTTAGTAATTAAACTCTTTTAACTTGACTTAATGCTACATGTACAAACTTATTTACACAGAAATTCTATAAGTTTTTCTTAATATTTGGAAAAATGTTGATTTAAATAATTTTTTTTCAAATTCCATTTCCACATACTTGGTAAACGGAGAGGTACCTTGCAAAAATTCTGGAAATGAAAAGAAAGAAATGTGAAAATGAAAAGAAAAATTGTCAGAAATGCTGTACAGATTCCGGAAAATGAAATGCAGCGAGGGTCACAATAGGAGATCAAAGTTTTACAGTATTTGAAATACTCTCCTCGAGCTCAGGAACCAAGAAAAGATTAAATTTCAATGAACGCTTTCTCTTTCTGGAGTATTTTATTTTGAAAATTATCTAGAGATTAGTCCTTTGGCGTGGGGGTAGGATATGACATAAATGATATTATAAAAAGGAAAAATCTTTAAAACTCACTTTCTAAAGAACAGTTTATTGCTAATAAAGTGATAATGTACAATAATTCTAAATATTTATCATATCTTACAGGTCCTGAAATGTGAAGGATCAAAGGTCCTTCTAAAGTAACGTTTAATGTACAGGATCAAGCATGATCAGATTGTAAAAAAAACCAGAAGTAAAAGAAAAGACTTTGCAGCGTTGTTGATAACGTTTTTCTTTAGCGTGTACATAAAACCACAACAAATTCCGTACGAGTGGTCTTCATCATAACACATGAAGTACGTAACGATAAATCGCCTGATTTTACTACCAATTTTTAGCTCTACTGGTCAGAGACCAGAAGAGCTTATGCGATATGTGTCAGAATCTGTGGTATCTTTTATCTTAAGCTCACCAGGATATATCGTATCGACATATGAATGGAAATTACCATTGTTTATCGACAATACGTCGCAGATATATCTAAATGTTTAGCTGAAGGCTACAGCAAGTATTTTTTTTTCTTTTCATGCATAAGATTTTGCACAAATTCTGCTTCATACAAAAATAGGTCTGCTAATAACGGAGCGCAATTGATACCCATGGGAATTCCAATAGATTGTTGAAAGACCTGCAGGCATGTTTATGAAAATTTCTTAAGATTGTTCATAAGAAATTTCCTAAGACATATCTTAGGAAAATATTAAGATCATCGTAAGGTTATAGTAAGCTGTTTTTCTAAGCTACATGTATCTTATGATTATCCTAAACTAAGACGTCTTAAATCATTATGACATAGAAATACGCAAAGTTTTAAACCATTGTCAGGAATGAGAGAGTTGTCAATTTACCTTTATAATGTTACACGTTATGTCATCGTAATGAAAATATTAAGAGTAAAAAAAATTAAAATTGATTTTTTTTAAAAGAATCTATAAATATAAATAATATACATTTTAAAATAATCACCTTATTTCGACGATATACTGAAATATCAGATTAGAATATAATAAAATTTGACGCGCAAATTTGCTCCGTGGAACCCTTATTCATTGACAATTTCTGGATCGACGAGAAAACACCCAGTACATGTAGATGAGTCGAAAGAGGAGCCCTAATTTTTCTCAGATTAATATCGAAATACTGCTTGGTGAGGTGAAGAAACACAGAGCCATTTTTTTTCAAACTTTCCAACGTATCTACAAATTCTTCAAAGAAATCAAAGTATTGAAAGAACTGAAAGCCGGGCTTTAATTGCTCGAGCATATTGTCTGATCCGAAATTAGTACACATTAATTTTTTTTCCTTTTGGTCATTGATTTTTAACAGGTAGGGTTTGTATGATTATGATTTAAAACAATATCGCATATACCGGTTATTAAAATTAACAGTCAAGACCCCAAGATATGTTATGATTTTAAACTTTCATAAATAATATTTCCAAGAAATTCTTGCATATTTTCTTTTCAATACGCATTTTTTTCTCATAATTATAAAATTCATTCTTCGAATTATAATGCACACGTGTATTTTACAGACATTTTTTTTTTGTTTCAAACAAACAGTACTTTTTTCGCCAACTACATGTAGAAACATTTATACATGTTCATTGTCAAGCGACTTCATGCTTGTTAATTTTTAAAATCCCAATTCTCTATACTATTACATGCAATTTACTAAAAATCAAAACAGAATATAACCACTAACATAACATCGAAGAAAACGGTTTGAAACATGAAAGTCTTTAACAATTTTAACATTTCGAAAAACCCGCGCTTGTGAAAATAGTTCGCTGAGAATATGCATTCGGCAGCGTATGTCCACAAATTGTTATATCACGATTATCTCATAAAGCAAATACCTAATTTCTCTTTCAGTTTAATTTTCAAGCAAAAATATTGATCATTAACTTTTCCAACAATTGGGTTTTAAAAAAAAATATTTGTATGAGTATGGTCTCGCGATGGAACTATTTTGTTTATCGGAAGCGTCTGCTTTGACGCTGTTTGGATTTTTGTTTACTGTGCTATTTATAGTAAGACAGTCGATCATGATGCCTATAGCCAGGACTGAGCTTTCAGCAAATCCCGGCAAAAAAGCATTGTAGGCAATATATGAGAAAATTATTATACAAATAACATTGACCACTGTAGAATGGTAGAAGAAATGAGGAAGAAATGAGGAAGAAATGGTCCTGTTACATGACTGAAACGAAATAGAAAGCAGCGCAATATCGGAGGGAAGCATGGAAACTTTGAGGAGATTCCCCCACGCACACCCCAAAGACTAAATCCTACGCAGGAAAAAATTGTAGGAATATTTGGTATAGAGGGCGACATCTACACCTTTGAGGTCATCGAAAAAACATACATGTTATAGTAACATGTAAACTCTCTCCCTCTCTAAGGTTAAGTGAGATTCAACTGTTTTATTCTGTTACTGTAACATGTAACAGATTACATCTTACTGTGTATGTCGTGAATCTGCATGAGGTATTGAATGTCATAAGAATTCTAACCATGGGTATTCTTGGAAAGTAGATGCCCGCAGACACGTAATTTAACATCGGAAGGGGCGGGGGGTATATGACGAGAAATACACATGATATTGCATGCTTTCTGAGGACTTCCTCATAAAAGCACGTTTGAGTTTATTTTGAAATTGTTGACATTAATTATGGATTAGGAGTCTTGAAAGACTATATCTTTCCATTATAGCCTCATCTTCAATGTAGTCAAAAGGGTTATCAATATCTCTAAATACTCTGTCACGTCCGATACGACGATTTCGTCGAGCCAGCAACATCCATAGGCGCTTGGTTTCAGAATGGTGTACTTTGTGTATTATGTGTTTTTCTAGGTGTGTCTGAATACCCTCGTTAAAATAAAAATAAAGAAATCATTCCTTCACTACTGTCAATATCTTAGTGAGTAGTAAAGACAGAGGATTGGTTGAACATTTACTGGAACCAGCAATGTATCTTTGTAAGGATTCTTATGAAGTCTTGAAATCCAATATATATATACGGTAGTTCAAATTTATTTTGGTTCTTCTGTATATTAAAAACATTCAAAACTGACATAGGATTTTGAAGAATGTCTTCCTTAGAAAGGGAACTATGAGTATAAGTTGGATTACCACTTGAAGAATTAAATCCAAGTTCTTCTTAAATACAATTTATGTAATGAGCCTTACAAACTCTGTCGATTGCGTCCTTGGGATGGTACACCAACAATCCACCAATGCAATATATTGTATCATCATTGGCGTCGGAAGCAAATTGAAAGGGGGTTGGGCTAATTGAAAGAGAAAAAAATTCAAATCCAAACCAAAAATTCTTAGATCGTAATAATATTTTATATGAGTTTCAATCTGGTTTTATAAGTAAGTACTCCACTGAATCTTGTTTGATACATTTATTTGATTTTATTATAGATAAGAATGCAAAGGGATTATATACTCGAATGGTTATGCTTTATCTGCAAAAGGCATTTGATGCTGTTGATCATGACATACTTTGTAAACATAAAACTCAAAGCAATTGGTGTACAGTTTGTTGATTGGTTTTTATCTTATTTTTCTGAAAGAAAGCAGTATGTTCACAGCAATGGAATTTCATCAGATTCTGGTATCACATGTGGTATACTTCAGGGCAGCATTCTAGGCCCTTTATCATTTTTAATTTACGTAAATGATATGGTAACTAGTCTTCATGCAGATTGTAAACTTCCTCTATACGCTGATGACAGTGCTATTTTATTTGCACATAAAGATCCTGATTTTTTATCAGAAAAGCTTCGTAAAAGTTTTGATCAGACTTCGCATTGATGCTGTAGATAACAAATATTGTTACATTTAGGTAAAACTTAATGTATTTTATTTGGTTCCAAAATAAAACTTCAAAATGCTAAAAAAAATTTAGGCTGTAGGTAATGACCATAACATTGATTGTAAAGAAAAAAAGATAAATATCTTGGAGTTTTGATTAACAAATGATTAAGTGGTGAATGCATTGTTGAATCGATTGTTAAGAAAGTAAATAATAGATTGCGATTTCTGTACCGACAAGCCCGTCTTTTAGATACTTTTTTGTAAAATGACTCTGTGTTCAGCATTGATACAATGTCATATTGATTACTCCTGCAGTGCTTGGTATGCAGGGCTATCCAAAACTTTAAAGAAAAAGTTAAAAAATTGTCAAAACAAGATGGTTCGATTACATGTATAGAGCACAAACTTACTCCATATAAAATATTCAAATAATTGGGAGATATTATCATTCTACATAGTATATCAATCATTGATTTTGAAGAGGCCTAAGGACCATGATTATTATTACTTAAGAAATGACGAATAAACACTATTTTCTCTGAATAAATCAGGGAAGTTTTGAATTTACCATTTCCCTGACGTTATTTCTAACATATGAAGTCATTGCTGATTAAAATATTTTATGCTTTGAAGTGTACAGATCTTCCCCTGATTTAGAACTAGCTGCAGAATTTTAGCTGTCCGAAAAAAATTAATTGACAGACCGGAGAGCTACAGTGCCACCCTTTGAAAGATCGTATATCTATTGTGCACCAAAAACAAAAATGCGCAAAAAAGTGAATCTTGTATATAATTATGACTTTATTTGGTTATTGAAAATAAAAAAAATTGAGGTTACACACAGTGTATTAATATAAGTGCTTGATAATCAAATTTGAATCAACATTCAAAGGAGTGCTCTTTTTTAAATAGTTGCTCCATTCTTGTATTTGCATATCTGAAAACCCAAATTAGTTTTGGTAATGCAATACAATACTTTTACAAATCAGAGTTATCTTAATTTAATGTCCAAATTCCAGAAGTAATGACAATGTAATACATTAATTTACTTTACAGTGCAATTTGACCCAAGCGTCCTATTTGTAGCTACATTAATAACTTGATTTATAAGTCAATTTGTGCAAAATCTTATGCGTTATTAGAAGAAAACACTTTCTGTGGCCTTCAACTCGACATTTAGATATATCGACGACGTATTGTCAATTAACAATGGTAATTTCCATTCCTGCGTCGATACGATGTATCCTGGTTAGCTTGGGATAAAAGATACCACAGAGTCTGACACATATGTTTCATACTTGGATATTTTACTTGAAAAAGACGTTAATGGTAATCTAACAACCAAGCTTAACAATTTTTTTCTATATTTCTTTGTAAAACTTGGATTATATATTGTGACCCTGCCCTACCCCCGGCGGTCATGATTTGTACAATTAAAAATTTATACTACCCCAGGATGCTTCCACACATTATTCAGCTTTCATGGCCAAGTGGTTCTTGAGAAGAAGAAGATTTTTAAAGATTTACACTATATAAAACTTGGATTCCCTATCGAGTCCCCGCCCTATAGCCGGGGTCATAATTGGAACAATTTAGATCGACAATACTCCAGGATTCTTCCACACAGATTTTAGCTTTTCTTGGCCATAGGCTCTTTCGAAGAAGCTTTATAAAGTTTTTTCCTATATATTCAAAGTAAAAGTTGGATTCTTATTGTGGATGCTTTGTACCAAGTTTGATTAGGATTGGCCCAGTGGTTCTTGAGAAGAAGTTGAAAATGTTAAAAGTTCACAGACGGACGGACGGACGACGTCACCTCAGGTGAGCTAAAACATATTACAAAAGCACCTTCTCCACAATGAATTTCATCCTTCCAAGTCCTCACAAGTCGGTTATGAAGTTTAAGAGATAGAGTCTTTGCACTAAAATATCATCAAAAATGTTGTATATATTTTTTTAATTATATCTTTATATATATATATCCTATGTGATGCATTGTTTAAGCCTATATAATTTCTTATATGTTTAGGACAAATGATATAAACTTAAAAAAATCATATAATTGACAGTCTAAGTTATGTTTACATGAGTAAAACTAATACGTTTCCTTATATAAATGTATTTTTGTCTATGTAATCAGACATTAGTATAACGTCCTATAAAACCTGTATAGATTTATAATGCTGATGGTAAAAAGTGGAGTCTTGAAAAGCAAAGGATTTTTTTATTTCAGGAATAACTGTCAAATATGCCGAAGGCGTTCACATAAAAAAAATAATAAAAATGTCCTTCAATTGATTCATCATCTTAATAAAGCCAAAATATCTGTTATTTCTTATATTTACATTTTCTTGAAACAATAAAATCACGTGCCTGCTCCTGGACCCATCCACTGTCTCTCTCTCCATATGGTCTTTTTCATGTTCTGGTAAGCAGGTAAACATATAACATTCATTGATTTTAATTGCGTAATAATTTTATGGAAAACGCAAATCTACATTCGACTGATTGAGAGATTGTAAATGCTGACAAGGACACTGTATTGACCGTAGAATATACGAAATGTTGACCTTAAGCTTCCTTTCAGAGATTGTTCGTACGTAGAACACGCTCTTGCTTATGGAATCATTAAACATCCTGTTTTTTTTTAACCTTTTATCAAGATTGGCGACTGTATAAACTGCAAATACATCAGCTCAAGATAACAAATTCAAAAAAAAAAAAAAATTAAAGGAAATCCCTCTGTCTCAAGTTTGAAAGCCACAACGGATTCTACGCTATCATACAAAATGTAATTACCTTTTTCAGTAAGATTTATTCACTCAAAAAATGGTACCTAGTTCTCTTGGTCAAGTTTTGGAAGACCCTCTCCGAAAACTACATAAAGGTTGGTATTGTGGAACACCAGCATCCTTTAAATATCAATTCCAGAATATTCGACTGTAAAATCAGATTGACTTTTGTTTATTCACAATTACAAGATAACGAGAAATAATTTACCATAGAATATACATTTTTATTCATAGATAAAGACGTATATAACAACATAAGCATGAGATTCAAGCATACGATTCTTTATTACATATACAATTTATGTTTGTATAATAAATCCTGAAGAAATAATAACTAATTTAATTATGTTCAAATGACCAGAATGCGCATGAGAAATGACAAAACCCCGTTCAACTAAAATTAATGACCGTAGGGACAGAGTGACAAACAAAATAACAACAATTGGACAAAACATACCATATAAGCAGAAATTGTAGCGAGGATTTAATTTTGGCATTATTAGCGAGGGTCTGAGATCGCTAAAATTGAATATCGCTAAAAATTAATTGCATTTTATATGAATAAGCTTCTTTAGTGGGCATTTTAAAATCGCTAACATAACATTGCGATAAAAATTGAATACCACTTTTTAAGGACAAATCGCTAAATTTGCGTCTCAGTAAAATTTCCACTTATACGGTATGACGCTTTTTTGCCATCGTTTACTTTAATGTCAGATCTAAATAGCGAAAAAAGAAAAAGAAAAAACCTAAATAAATGTAAATTAAATCTGTTGAATATTTAAGACTAATTTCACAAAAAAAAAAACTTTTTTTAAAAAAACTTGAGGCAAGAATAAAATTGTCCTAACAACATAGAAATAAGAGGGTTGTCCCAGGAAACGTGAACTTTTTCATGCATGTATATTGACAAGGCTCACATGGCAGGTTTGAGCGGTCGGCAGGCTATGCTCGCTCCTCCTTGGCACCTGATCGCACCTCTGATGTTTTAGAGGTCTGTGTTTGCTCTTCTACTGTTTTGTATTGTTTTATGGACTTTTGATCTTGAATACTGTTCGTTATCTCCATATGATTCATTATCGTTATTTTGAATTATTCTTTCATCAGTGAGTACTATGTTATTTTATCCAGAATTTTTTTTTTTTATTTTCTGTTTATTATTTATTTTAATTTAAAATGTTGATTTAGGTGTCTAACAATTTTAATTTTTATAAAATGAGTGAAAACGACAATTGGAAATATTTGGACTTTTTTGGGACAACCCTCGTAACAAGAAAAAAATTTCATTTAATATTAGATTTCTTTATTCACATAGCAACAAATGAGACTACGGAATCATAGTAATGTCAACCTGTGTATATATATATATATATATATAAAAAAATTAAAAACAATTATCTGTATATATAGCAAACGCCAAACATAGAAAACAAGACCTCAAAATACATCACGAAAATGTGATATATAAAAACAAACCTTTGAAATATATTAATGATATGCGAAATATTTAATACGGAGGGTTGCTTTAATGTTTAATTTGTTCTTTAAATATACACAAATAGCATTGATGCCAATAAAAAGTCTAAATTCAATGATGACTAAATCAGTATAAAGTGACACTTATTTTAATAATTCATTTAATGACTTTATAAAATACTCAGCTTTCTATTCCTTGAATGTGTTACATCATTATCTCCTTTCTTTAACTACATCAGAACTCATTCATTTTGCAAGCTCTTTCTTTTTGTTTTTCTGTATCTGTAAAATAAAAAAAAAAATTAATTCTATTGGCTAATCATAATATTCATTTGCATTTAGTGTTAACACTGACATAAAGACATTTTCATTTATCAAGGTGTTAGTAGTCATCTGAAAAGATAATCTGACACAATTAGAAAAAAAAATACATCCAAAACCTGTATATGACTCAGAATGATCTTGCTGTTGAATGAAGTCGCAGAATAATTCATCTTTTATCTTTGGATTTAAATCGCCTGCAGAAGTTCCCGTCCTTTCCTGAACATCTAAAGTGAATGAAAAAAATATCAGCATTTGAAACGAAATATGAATTCGTTGAAGAAACCTTAAGAATCTGAAAGGTACGGTCACTTTTTTCGTGAAAGGTAATAGAAAATGATTATAAACAATCAATTGGTGTAGCTACAGAATAGCTTACATGCAAAAAAGCAGGACAAAAAGTCTACTTGTGGATCAGGGTCTGTTTGAGTGGCTTTATTGACAGGACCATCGTCAGCGCCGTGATCTGAAAAAAACATAATTCAATTTTAAATGTCCAGCAAAAACTATCCCATCCAATACAAGACCCATTTGTTTCACTGTTTTAAGCTATCAATTTAATTTAAAATAAGCTCATGGCTGTAGCTTTATCATTTTGATCAATTTGTTACCTTCTTTTAATGAGAACAATTTAAGTTATCTGTGATTATCTTGGAAACTCACTTGGTATTTGGTTGCGTTTGTTGAATGACAAATCTGTTGGTAATCTGAAATCGAATTTATAGCAATAATATATATCGTATGTTAACTTTGCCTTTTCATCAATCAGTGCTTTACCAAACTCACAGAACAGTGAAAAGAGTCAGCATTAAAGAACAATGAAAAGAGTCAGCATTAAAGAAATATTGTAAGATATGTGTAAGTTGATAAGCGAGTATCCTCGAAATTTATCTCTCTCTCTCTCTTACAATTTTATTTACAGTCTTTACCTGTTCAGGGATTTATGTAATGGAAATCGGAGAGCCTTAAGCTCACACATTTCTCTGTTGTGGTACTTAGTGACCGCTATAAAAGCTGTGTCCTGAATTGGAAAGTCGACAACAGTGAGATTGCCATCTCTTTCATGTTTCACTAAGGAAATACACACCATGTATTTCTGCAATGTTTGTAGTGTAAACTGAAAATAGAATGCCATAAATATTTGTAAGCATTGCTTCATGGCCGAAATTATCTTAAGAAGAAAATTAAAGTTAAAATTTATTTCATGTTTCATCTTCAATTATGTACATTTTAAATATCCAATTTATATTATAATGTTATTTAGGGTGATTAAAGATAAATAAGAAAGGTCACAGAAAGGTAAAATTTTGAATAAGACAGACTATGTTCAATTTCTAAATATTTTCAAAATTTATTAGCTGCATCATTTACAACCAAATTAAGTTCAAAACTTAACCAATCCTGGATTCTATTCTTTTTTATTTATATCTGCCCTTAACAAGGAATGAAAAATTGATTGAAGACGTTTAAGTGAAAAAAAATCAAATGTAAAAATGAATTGTATATGTAAGAGTTCAAATTGTCTTCAACACTTTGGGAACTCACCCATTCTCAATATAAGGGCACAAATGCCTCTCTGATTTTTTAAAAAATGAAGTTCAAGATAACAATTTTTCTATCAATTGCCTTTGAAAGAAAGTATCTGAAGATTTTGTTTCCAGATTTTTTTTCATCAAATTATAATACATGGAATAATGACAAGACGGTAAAGTAGAGGGTGATTTTATTCAGAAATGTAGTAGAAATGTACGTTACTCTTTCTTCAATGTCCAAAAAGATATGTAAAAAAAAATGTAGTCATTAAAATCACAATTGGAATATCTCATCTTAACACCAGCACATCCTACCAACTCTGTCAGCAACATATTTTCTCGCCATACGAACGTGCGTTTGATTTTTCCTTTCAAAAAACAAGGTTAGTTTTGGATCCAGATGTATAAAAACATTTTTTAAAAATATGCTTCAAATTCTTCTCTCTGTTTTTCTTTAGAGCGATCAGTTTGGAATCTTGTCATTTTCTATAGATACTGGAACCTAACATGTACATGTAGTAAAATTCTATTTTGTTGTTACTGTCTTTTTTAACATATATCCATGCCGATTTAGAAAACTACGTAAATATAACGTACATTTCAAGACAAATTTCTGTTTAATAAAAAGCTTAAAATTCATCTAAAAATTCATCGTTTTGTTTCAGTTTATTCCAAAAAAGATTCTCTAAGTAATCACATTGTGATATATGTCACAATCACCACTATAAAGACACGATTGCCTCAGAATATGAGTAGGTAACGTACATTTCAAGCTTGTAATAATATGTAAATTAGTAATAAGAAAATATTGAAAAAAAAGCAATTATTGACATAAAAATCATTTCAATTAAGCGTTTTAACGCAGTAATATAAGAAATCATAATGTAACAAACGAGGTTGTTTGTCATCAACTACATAAATGTCACGTCACTTCGGTAACGTTCATTTCACATATTATTTGGGAGTCCCCTCCACCTCAGTTCATTACCATTCTTTTGTGCTGTTTCGCTGAAATTGACACCGGTCGTAGCCTAGTTACTTCTACCTGTGTGCAAGAGTACAGACCAAAAAAAAAAGAGTCAGACGTATTTTGCTATGATCTAACAAATGCTCGTGTTTGGCCATTGAAACTTAACATAAATCTATTCCGAAAAAATCCATCGACAGTCTTGTTAACAATTTCATTTAGTATGTTGCAACATCGTTTGTCAAAACACAAAAATACGTGCTTTTCAGCAGATCTGGAAAAATATAACCCAAAATGCAATGATTCAAACAAAACTGAGTATTGTGTGCCTTTCAGTATTTGAAATGCACGTGACCGTCTTGTGTTCTGGGTTTATTTGTTTTGTTTTTTTTTTCTTTTTGTTTTGTTTTGTTTTTTGTTTTTTTGTTTTTTTTACCAATTAAAGCCTATGGATACCTTGTTTTAAATTATCAACAGCAATTAAATTAATATTGACGCAATGTCGCATATTAAAAGTAAACAAACTGCAAAAAGGTTGCCAAAGATGAATTTAAGACACTTAGAAATAAATTTTCTAGCATGTGGTAACAGTCTAAAACATTTACGAGGATTGGGGGTGCATTTAGATGGATTTATGTGGCCAGTTGTCAAATGGATTGTAACGATAATTTTGTTTCGCTCGTGTAAACGCAATTCATTGACTAAATAAAAAAAAATGTCAGTTAGAAATACGTAAAATGTACGTTACCATACGTAACGTACATTTCAAATATAAAAATCAATTCTCTTCCACAAGCGTACATTAGACAAGCAATATATTTATACTATTTGAACTTGCATATCATAAGAAATGCATCATACAGGTTTCGTATTCAGAAATATATACCAGGTATCAAAATTATATTACTTATAATTGACCTTAATATATTTTTTTTTCCTCAGCAGAAACGTTTCTTTTCATTAATTTTGGGATTTAGCCGACCTCCAACTTTTGAAACTTTCCTTTCTGTACACATTCGAGTGTGTGAAAGTATGAGAATACATGAAATTCGTGCGAGATTCACTTAATTCGAATTTCATGGTAACGTACATTTCAGTCACGTACATTTCAAATGATCACTTTTCATGTAAAAAATAATTTTTAATTGTGTTAAGCAAAACTTCTTTGCCAGTTTACAGGATACAAGGGGTTGCTTATTCAGAGTCGTCTCATATTTTCTACTTAATATATATTCTTAATGGAAGAATATAGGTAACGTACATTTCTTTCTTATCTCTACGATTGAAAATGTCTTTCATTCCGTTAACATATTTATAAAAGTTGCTTAAATTGTTAAATTTAATGTTAGATTATCTAAGTAGGAGTAATCAATTCTTTGAAATTTCAAATTTAGCCCATCAATAAATAAATGAGAACAAAACTATCAGGTGTATAATCTTTGTGTTTGCTTGTAATGTGGTTGAAATAGAATTAAGCGACAGGGACATTGCACAATAAAAATTATTTATTATCACAAAGAAAATGTATTTATTGTTATGAAAAGAAATATATATGATACAAGGTTTAACTTATCAGAAAATTTTTACTTGAGAATCAAAACTATATATTACACAGAGGGGATTCAGCATAATATTTGCCTTGGCGACAGTAACGTACATTTCAAACAGGCTACTATAGTTGAATTTGGAACTCATTAAATACCCTTTCAGATCGATAATTATATGAATTCTTATTCATTGTTATATGACTATTTATAATGTTGATTTAAAAATTACATCAGTGGTATTTCTTCTAAATGAAAATAAGGCGACATTATTTGAGCCCTTATATTGAGAATGGGTGACTACTTCTACCTGATAAACTATCTGCCCTTGAATAGATTTATTTGCACTGTTAAAGTGAAGCCATATTTACTTCTTATAAATAAAGTACTTTAGAGGAGAGGAAAAATACGTAAGCCTACTTAAATAGGGCAGATTTCCATTATAAAAGTATAAGCTGCATATTTGCATATTAATGAGATTAAAAACATCCTTATTGGTCAGCACTAAGTATATTTTATCGGAGACACACCTCTCTGTATAATAAATCCCTTAGGAAGGAAACAAAATATTGTAAATGTAACTTAAATGTCAAATTTATTTTTATTGTTTAATAAGGAAAAACATTGGCAAATGTAATTTTACAATATTTATCCATAAACATTCAACAGACAATTTGATATCTGTTTGAAGAAGGTTGGATAATGCCATTAAAAATAATGAGATTTTTTCATGAAAAATATTTTTAGAATTAATACACAATCATAGGTTTATCAAAAATAAAAAAAAAATCAAAAAATAGGAGTGAATGCGCTGGTTTGGGTCTACAGAGGATTTAGTTTGAACTTTTTGCACTGTTAATACGTGTTACACATGAATCAGTTTTAAAGTTTTATTCCCATATCTTTTGATCAGAAAAATTATGGGATCAAACACAGTCTTATTCCATCTTGAATAGACACATAATTTTTTTTGACAGGGAAGAAATTTTCAAATTACTCCACGTGTTTAATTATTTGACGTTTTTGCACTCAAACAGTTTCAGTTTTCTGGCATTTAAAATGTAACAAACAAAAAAGAAAACATTTGAAAGTAATGACATTTTTTTCTAAATTTAAGAAGACAGTTAAAATACCGTTTATATCCAGAAAAGAAAATTAATGGTGAGGATCTGTGATTTTAATTTTTAGATATTACTTAAATAGTGCTAATTTTAAGCTTATATTAGGTTAATTTTTTTCCTTCATTTTCACATACATGTATGTATTTGCAATGATTTTCAAATATGATGATAAAATTCATGACAATTTATTCAATTTAATATTATGCAATTATTTAGGACAATTGTTAAACTGTACACTGCACAAAATAACTCAGGCAGGATGCATGTAAAAAAAGAATCCAAATTTGACATACTTTAAATACTTCGAAAGAGAAAAAAAACTATTTTACAGTAAAAACAGAAACCTCAGCCACTAAATATACACTGAACCAAACTTCTAAGTGTTCACCTAACATTTTTTAAGTTTTAAAGAACAAATGCATACAATAAATAATTTCTTTAATTCATGGTTAATTATGCATATTTCAGTTCAATGTTGCGAAAATTTCATGTAAGTATCTCGTCAGAATTTTAAGCAAAGTGTCAAGGAAATGATGTACCCTCAAAATGAAAATTCACACAAAATAATCTCTATGGAGAAAGACCACCGCTCGCTCTAATTACTACAAGACAATCTTTACTGTTAGATACCATGTACTCCTGAATACGAGATTGACCCATCTGTTGCCACACCTACTGCATAGATCTTTCCAACCCGTTGAAATTGTGTGGAAGGAGGGGGTGGGGGGGTTGGAAATTCTTTATAAAAATCCCAAATGTGTTCAATGGGATTCAGATCTGGGAATTTGACAGTACATCATCAACAGATGCCTTTTGGTCAATATCCTTGGGCGTTTAGCACGTACATGCACCGCTTTAAGGATGATTCAGACTGCTTGAGCTGATATGAGACTGTCGTGAGCACCGATTTCTTATCTTTTTCATACGATTGAAATTGTTTGTTTTTCTGTTTCTAAGATTGTTTCAGGACTAATTAACACTCTTTTTACCTGGTGTGACGCGAAATTTTGGCCTCAGACGAAGATTAAGGTCACTTCCGGTTTGGTTAATTTTGTCCAAAACTTCCAAATTGTGATAAATTGGCGATGAAAAATGATGCACAGTCTATAGAAAATGTTTTTAAATGGGTTTTGACACTGGTTGTTAAGTTTTAAAAGCAATATCAAGAACAATTAAAGACTAAAATAAAAATGAGTAAAACGTGGTGCAAAGATGGTCCAGATATCAACATTCCAAAAGCCCTCCCTTCTATCTCAATAGTCATTTTGCCAATGTTTTGTGTTTTTTAATGAAAACATTTTTTTTTTAAATTTGATAATGATCACAAAAATATGCTTATTACATAAAACACGTGCCGCAAAGTACAGATTTATTGTTTTTAAGCTTCGTCACCGAACATTGGTTTTCGTAGGTGATATTTGATTTTCTTTCTAAAATTGTTGAGAAGACTCATTTGGTTTGATAATTTGAAAATATCATACCATTCTACAAAGTAGTTTTTAAATAAATACATTTATTACAGTGAACACTTAGAAGTTTTGTTAAGTGTAGTTTCTCACTTAATGCTTATGGTATGGAATTTTATCAGAGAGTTTAAACTGAACATATTATTGTAGAATTCAAATTTATTGTAAGAATTAAAACATTATGCAGATTTTTAAAACATAGCTTAAGATAAAAATCTGCTCAAGAGTTCAGAGGCAAATCTTGAAAAGTCTTACTTGACTAAATCAGTAAGGGAGATGATGTCAATTTTAAAACACAACCTTTCATAAAATTGGTATTTAGAGATGTGATTTAACTCCAGAAGATAAAAAAAAACGTGCAAACATTCACAATAAAATATTTAATTTTGTTATGTTGTATCTGTCATTTGGATTAAAATTTACGGTCGGTGACGTCATATGTGTACATCAAGTAACGTGGAAATTAATCATGTTGTGTAAAGAGAATTTGGCTAAGACGGCATGTACAAAGTAAGTAAGGGAGTTTAGAAGCAAATATGGTGTGAATATTATGTTATATTCATTCGGAGTTAAAATACATAAAGACAGGTATGCTCATTTATTTCCATCGATTATATTTTCTTTCGAAGATAGTAAGTCGACCTTTCCTCTGTCATTTGGGACAAAAATAATGCCCTAGAACATTCCAAAACATAAGATTTGTAAAGATCAAAAGCTGGCCTTCTAAAATACTTGGAAAGTAAAAAAAATTAATTTCCCGCGAAATGATATGAATGCTTCCTTAACATGCCCTCGAGGTGTATTACTTACTGTGCAAGTATTTTTGCCTGGTTTGTTTGATAATTTTACTGTCTGAAATGAAATCTTTCGAGACATCAGCTGCGACCCAGTTTTCGGAGCGTCTTGATCCCGGAAGGCTTTATTCTTAAATTCTTTCTTTTTTTTCCCAAATGGAACCCATTCATTGTCGATGAACTTGAAACGTTTTCCGGTTTCGGGTATTATGTCGAAAATGACATCATATAGTCCAGAAGGATCAAGGCCACTTAAGAAAAATTCAACGTATGGATACATGCTCCTGAAATATGTAAGAATTAAAAATCCCCTTGATACCTATGTTTCTTCTTCATTGCGGTATTTGTAAAATAACATGAACTTTTATAATTTATCAAATATGTATAACTAAGGTATGATTGGGTTTTTTTCCCTCAATACTCTCTGCAACTGAAATGACTGATAATTCTCAAAAATATCTGCAATAAATGGATTTAAAAAGGCGGTTGTATTATATCACGGGGACAAAAATCAAATAAAAAGAAATTTAAAACAGCTGCTTTTAGGCTACTAAATGCAGCAATTCAATGAAGCAGAAATTAAGCAAATACCCCCCCCCCCTTTCCATGAAAAAATGAAAGAGAAAATGTATAATAATTTGATATCAGTAATCAGCAATCTTTATAACAATTCCGAAGATTTTTCCCATGTTACTGTCTATCTTTTTATCTGACCTTGAAAAAAGGCAAGGGTAAAAAAATGAATTCATCTCATTCAATGTTTACATTATAAAGATGTATGTCGTTTGTCAAAAGGTCTAGAATAAAACATATGGAGTTAATGAATAGTATTCAAGACATTACATTCATAAACTACAAACCTTCCAGACCTTGAGATAATCATTTCCGTCCCTACTTTCACGAACTCCTGCCATAGTTTTCTTTCTGTCATCGATATTGTAATGGCTCCATTGATAACAGAAATACAGTTTCCTTTCTCATCACCAAAATCATCTTTGAACATTCCAGCCTTCAACAAAGAATTCTCCCCGTCAGAATAATCAGAAAAGCCACAGGAAATTGCATCATTTTTACAAACATCGGTATCAAAAGTCATGTTGTTCATAATGGATGACGTCAAACGCAAGCTAATTCTGGAAGGAGGGTGAATTTGATGAAGCTCTTTTATATGAACCTTTCCTTTTTCTCCTATTTCTAGTATTTTAAATACGTTGTTTGTCTCGATCTTCCTTGGAATATAGTTGTCTGTTTCACCTTCAGTCGCTAGAAATATTTAACGTGAATTAAACACTACATGAAAAAAATGCCAGATTGACAAGCGCATAGAGCATTAGGAACATATATAAAGTAAAAATAATGAAAATGTTGGTTGGAAATTGCAGTTACATATCACATGTTTTTAATTTGATAGTTGTAAATTTTACATAAATAACAGTTGCTTCAGTAAACCAAAAGATACAGGGAGAAAAAAGACTTTAGGGACCAGTAGTCTGTTTTTAACAAGTTCAAACTTTAAGAAATTGACCTTCGTTGGAAAGGCCCATATACAAAAAAGAATGACACAAAGTCTAAAAGAGATGATTGATGCCAACGATGATGATTATGATTAATACAGACAACACGAATTGAAATTTTGCGTAATTATTTGCATTACAGGTTTTCATTTTAAATAGACCTACTGTGTTCTAAGCACAATTTAAACTGCACAATACATGTAGATACACCATAATGGTTATTTGTTAAAGCTGTTGTTATGTCGTCAAGAACTTAACTCTAAACGACTTTTTGTTATTGCTGGACCTACTATTTTGTCCGAGCACTTACTCTGAGACTACTTGGGCAAAGCTGATAAAATTACGATCAGCAGCTTTAGATGTTGACTAAAACATTGATTTTTCAATATGACACCCGTTGCCATGGACACAAAAAAAAACAACTGAATATCCTACGGTTGGTTGTATTTTACAATAAGGATTTTTTTCCCTAAAATCCATAACCATTGAAACGATTGGATAATCTTTTTCCCATAATGAATTAACTCACGTGTACAGTTTCTCTCAGCGTGGTAAACATTCAGCTGTCGTGTGATTATTATACATGGATTGTTGTGTATGCGTTTTGCTTGCAAAAGCAAACATTGTAGTCTTATGGGTTTTTTAAATTATCATTAGTTACTGATATTGATGTTTACGGCACTTACAAATAGGACGATTTTAGAATCTACTTTTCATCTGCATATCTTCATATCTTACTATGTAGAAATATTCAACTAGAGGTGTTTATGTCTCCCAACTTATTCGTCTGTAGAATAATCAACTTTAAAACAGGAGCAGGATACAGACAAATAAGGCTATGCTTCACGGCTTTCAACATTATCAATAAAACTTAGTATTTCAAAATTCAAGGGATATTATAATGAAAACGTTCATAAAACATTTTTTGATGAATTTAAGAATCTCGATAACAACATCAAATTTGCCAAAAAAGGGACAAGTACCTTTCATAATACAGAACAATTGATGCAAAAGTATGGTGCAATTGGAGCCCAGAAATAAGTATAATTGTTCAGAGAAATTAGGAGAAATAGTTCTTGCAAGTTAGTTTTTGTTCGGACGAACATAACGGTATTTGTGGAAAACACATGAAATTTATCAAGACGAAGAAGAGTTAAACTCGAAAGTCTACTCAAACAATACAAATCAGTAGCAGAACAAACACGGACCTCTTAAACAGTATACATTGAAGAAGGGTTCAAGTGCCATGGAGGAGTTAGTATCGCATGCCGACCGGATACATGCGCCGTGTTTTTGGAAATTCAGACAAGTTGTTTAAAGACCTGGTCTCCATAAAACACATACCACAAAATGACTAATTTTTGGAGGGGTAAGTGGTTCTTACTGTTTTTTTTTTCGCAATATGGAGAGACCCACGAATTTATGACCACCATAAAATGTTGAATGTAATATGCATTATCACTCAACACTTCTCCAACAACGTAATCCAATCTCCACTTATCAGGAATTTTTTCTCAACCCCTCCAAAATTTTCCCCTTCAAAAATGTGTGATTTTACAGTAAATAATGTCGATCAGAAAATTAAGCAGCAACATTCACAGAGTACTTATCTTTACAAACAGATTTTTTTTAAATAAAAGCAAGAAAGAAAAACAATAATAAGAATAAAACCCTTAAAACATTATGTTTCCAGACTTTTTAAAGCTTTGTAGTAAACATTTGTTTTATATTGAATCGAATCGAATACTCACTTTTTCTTCGTCATTAGTGTTCTTTTTCAGGATGCCTTAGTAGACTGTTCAATACAAAACGGTTGTGTGTCTTATAAATAATATCTTGAAATTATATTATCCAATCAATAAATTCTCTACACCTATGACATTTAATTCTTCAATAAAATACACAACATTGAAAAGGCGGGGCTTAATTTATATTATTCCGTTTACATGTACATTGACATAAAAATTTCAGATTTCAATCAGGATTGCAATTTTGAAACACAGCCTCACCCCCTCACCACCACACAAAACGTATCACTCACTATAGCTAATAAAAACACTTTTTGCAACATACATATAAAAACAAAGCCGTTTACAGGCTCATTAGACTTTTTCATCAATTTTATATATTTCGCCTAAGTCAAAAAAGGACTGAGTCTTACCAACGAGTTTTGAATATGTAAACAGCTTTGATTAAAAAAATCTAGTCATGAAATAAAAACAAAGTCATCAAAATGATGAGGTTTCCTCTTTATGCACTTCAACAACGTCCTTCCGTCTTTTTGACATGTTTCCTGTACCCTCTGTGGTCTTCATTCTGTGTCTCCCTCTGTCTGTATGCCTATATCTCGACAATTTCCAATTTCAAATTCATGTAATACTTTCAAAGTTTCTTAATTGTTTAAACGTAATTTTTATTTTGATTATTGTTGTATCTTCATAATTTTTCTAAATAATAGCGGAAGTTTTTATACTATAACTCTTTCATTGCAAAATAATATCGTTCCTCCGCTTTGGGTAATGTATTAATGTTATATGGTACACTGTTACGTATTTGAAGCCAAAGCACGATGCTTATAGAGCAGTCCTCTGTCATATTTCCCTGTAATGTTAGTTATTTTATTCATAATTTGTTATGCTTTCATTAATTACCTCCCCATAATTTTTCAATTCCACTTTTTTTCAATTTGCCAATGTGAATTCGATGGACCTTTTGAAAAATAAAATTAGAAATATGCATAGTTATGGACATTGATTATACAATAGACTAAATATATATAAGTCCTCTTTAAGTTTTGTTTTACGTCTAAACAAATCCGTCTTTATATTTGTATATTTGCTTTATTTTGTTTCCTTGACTTTTCATGGACTTTTTGAAGAATTTAAACAAGTTTATTCTAAGAATCGTCAATAGCAGAAAAAAAAACTGGTATTTGTGATAATTGATGTTGCTCAGCATAGGCCGATAGTGCTGCAGAATAAGTTAGACAAATCCTTTTTCTTTTGAAACATTTTCAAATAAGCTCTGTTTTCTTTTAAGTTGCACAGACAAGTAAAGATCATTTTATATGACCGGTTGTAAATGGTGACATGCGTCAAAATGAGGCATAAGGAAGAACCAACGATGTTTATATATAAGTTTAAGGTTTGATATTACACTTTGCTCTTTTCGTACTTTGGTCTATGTCATCCTTCCGCCGTTTGGCATTCATTGTTTCTGACTCCGTCTTCCACATGTTATGCATGCACATTACCATTAACATTTCCATGTCTTGTACTTGGCAGGAAATGATTCAGTATTCCTCCTGCTTCAAAATATTTGTTAATAGACTTTCCAGAGTTTGATAATTAATCAAACCAGGAATTTAGACCATGCTCTTGCTTATCAAATCAGTTGAGAGACATGTAATTTTCTTCATAGATTTGGCGATGGTAAACTTTATATGTTTGCATAAGAAGTATACAGGCACAGAATAAAGCCTTTTCCTCAATTACTTAAATGATGGCTGAACTTTCTGTGAGTTCCTCTTTGCTATTCAATCAGCTTTGAGTACATGTAGGCTTTTTATCACACTACAATTAACTGAAGAAAGATTATTATTTGACTTTTGCTATTTTACCATACTACAGGAAATAACCCGCATCAATTTGATCAAATAATTTTTTTGTGACTTTTATTTTTTTATGCAAAGGAATCACCAGATAATTGAAACATAAATGAACTTATGTTGTTGAGGTTCACTTTGTACAAAATAAATTAACTTTGGGTATTCAATGTTTGTTTCTTGAAGACAGGGTACATTTTAAAATTAGAAAGATATGTGAATTTTATTATTATTCTCAACATATATCACCTCCACTTATGTAGTTCATCGAGTACACATTTTGAAGCAATTAACCTTTTAGGTAGTATAACATCCTACACGCCTTCTTGAAAATAAAACTGTCGTGTTCATCATGTATCTTATTGACGTTATTGAAGGGAAGTGATAATTTATTTTCTCAGATTTTAACAGTTTGAAAGAAATACAAGAAACTTCATTAATATCAAAAATTTATTTAGTCAAGAATCACGTATTATTAATACATCCATACATGTTTGTCTCAAAAATGTCAGGGAGCCGAGAAGAAAGTTTTTCAAAGAATAATAAATTTCAACTACAACCACACTCAACCACGTATTTGAATCCCTTACATAGAGGACATAAGAATCGCAATTTAGGAAAAAGCATATTTGCTCTGAAGACTATTATTTTGTTTACCTTAAACTCTTGCAATTGAGAAAAGAACAATGTTTTCAACAAAAAAATTGAGATTTCGGCTCATTATTTTTCTAAACGTATTATCCAATCAAGAAATTTTGCAGTTTTGTGAATATCGTTTTTTTTTTAAGTTCCTTATGTTTTTGATCACCCTCTTACTTTAGTAATTACTCTAATTCTTGTCCAAATTATTCGAGTACATGTATAACCTGGTTTGGGTCAGTTTACGCTGTTTTATAATCCCTGAAGGCTAAACTGACCCAAACCAGGTTATACTGGAATACATTGGCCATCATTCCTTATAATTTATTTTTAAAATCATTAAACAACCGCGGGTGTAGAATTTCATTGCTTTTTACCGATTCAAATATGCAGCTCAACAATACAACCGTACATTAACAGAAGTGATGGGCAGTGAGAGGATCAAGAAACAGATACATTACACTGTAGGCCAAACAACCTCCTTGTTTGTTTACA